AACTTTTGATGCTATATTAAATTTACCGTGTCGGCAAAATTTTTCAATCTTTCCTATTTTCGCACATCATTAAGTTATTCTTTTTCAAAAAAAAATTTGATCAAAAGTTTCCTCAAGATATGTTCTAACATGTTCTATAATTGTTATATCAAGAACCTTCATGATTTTAGAGCTATTTACTCACCGTTTTTTGCATTTTTTGAAATTTCGAAGGCGTTAATCGGTTAACCCATATGGTTAACCGGTTAACATTGTTTGTTTCTGTTTCCTTTATTTTATTTTTTAAGGCGTTAATCGGTTAACCCATATGGTTAACCGGTTAACACTGTTCGTGTATATATTTTTTTAAAGGAAAATTTATTCAATTATGCTTTTAACATGTGTGCTTAAGTGTTTTTGTTTCATGTGCTTTATGTTCATTCTCACCAACATTCCTTGGGACTCATCTTCTTCTTCTCTTTGACTCCCCATTAAAACCTTCTTCCAACTTCTACCCATTCAAAATAACAATCAATCTCACTTTAAAATCCCACTCAAACATTACTCTTTATAAACCACTTCACTTTCTCTGTCTTTGTCACAACATCCAACCCTAATCCGAAAATTCATCTTCAAACCCTAGAAATCCCAAATCTTCATCCATGGCTCCATCAAAGAAAGGAAAAGGAAAGATGGCGGAAAGTAGCTTAGCTGTCGATGAGGAAAATGCTTTGGTGGAAACAACTAAGAAGCGGAGAATGGATTTCAAAGTTCGAGTTCGACAATTTCTCAAGGTAAAATATATCAATCTCAAAGCTTTTCAAGCACATACTTTTGATTTTCCAGCATTGCTAAAGTATCAAAAGATTGATAACTTTGTCTCCGATAATGGTCGGTGTTACCCTGATTTAGTGAAATCTTGTATGCACAACTTATCAATTAATCTGAATGATGCTAGACAACATATGCTTAAGACTAGTGTTAAAGACTTTGAGCTGAGTGAAGATTTGTCGAGTATTGCTGCTACACTCAAAATTCCGTATACCGGCTATTTTCTCCGAAAAGGAGTTAACCATAAAGTCGGACCATGGGCTCAGTACGACAAAATGGAATATTATTATAGTATTTGCAGGTTTCCTAGAGAAGTTGTGGTAGCTGGACAACGCACGCCTCATGTTTTATGCTATGTTAAGAATTTGTCGGTGAATGACTGGATGCTTCATTACATTATTTGTTATGTCTTGCTTCCAAAGGATTCAAATCACTCCCAAATTAATGATATCAATATGCAAGTGCATTTTGCAATTAAGAATAAGATCAAAATTAATTGGATATTGACAATGATGTACCATCTTTAACAACAACTTACACTCTCTACCCGACTTCCTTATGGTCGCCTCATTTCAAGCATTTTGGAGTTAACAGATTTGAATCTTAATAGGGAACCATCTATTGAAATGAAATCAACGGCAAATGAAATTAATGAGATCACTATTATGAAGAACACCAGAATTGTTAAATGTAACGATGGAACATTCAAGGACAAAGATGGGTCGTCTACCTCCAATTATCCAATCCCAGAAGGATGAGTTACCAATGAGTTCCTCTATATCACCATGATGAATCTACACCGAGAAACTACCCGGGCCATCAATTATCTTCAAAGGCTTGTCTTAAACTCTCAAAACCAAAATGCCAGTAATGATGAAGATGAATACGGAAGTGAAGAGGATGAGGATGGAAGCGAGGAAATGTCCGAGGATGATGACTAAAACACTTATTTTATGTTCTTTGTTCTTGTTCTATCTATTGTTTAAGTTTATGCTTAAGTTCTAGTTCTTTGATACACTTATGGTTTTGTATGTATGTCAACTTTCATTATTGTGTGCTCCTCTTCCTTTTTGCTAATGCCAAAGGGGGAGAAGGATTGGTTTCTCTAATGTTTCTTTGTGCAGAAAATTTATACCTCTTGTATTAAGGGGGAGCTTTAACTTAGGGGGAGAAACAAGTTTAGAGAAACAAGTCTCAAAGCAAGCTTTCAAAGATTGGTTGTCATCATCAAAAATGGGGAGATTGTAGAAGCAAACTTCAAGCGCATAAAAGTTTTGATGAAGACAACAAGTTTTCTACGCAACATGTGTATGCAAAAAGCAAAAGACTCAAATGACATCAAGTTTCAAGATGGTGTTCCAGCATATGTCAAATGGATCAAAGCTTCACATACATACTAATCAAGCTTCAAGTATTGAAGATAAAATATTGAACAACAACTCAAAGGTATACCAAATATCATTTAAAATACTTATACAAGTGTTCAATTATTCATCTCTCACTTCACATATATCATAAGACTTTTAAAACACTTTTAGTAGCTCACTCTTTTTAAAAATTAATTTTGTTTTGAAAAACTTTCAGTGTTAACCGATTAACCCCTACGGTTAACCGGTTAACGGTTTCTCAAATTAATTTTTTTGCTGAATTAATTACAGTGTTAATCGATTAACCTATATGGTTAACTGGTTAACAATTGCTGTTTTTGAATATTTTCTAACTTTAAAGGGGTGTTAACCGATTAACCTATATGGTTAACCGATTAACCCTGAAGCAGTAAGCGAAAAATGACAGCTTTTCATGAAAATATGCATTGTTTTCATTTGTTTTCTGACAGTTTTGCTGCATAAAATTATACCCTTATGTAGAGGTGTATTATACAATATAAATACATATCAATTTTCAAATTTCAATTTACCTCCAAGAAACTTAATCATCAAATTCACTCATTCTCTTCATCTTTCAATATTTCTTAAAGTGTTCACACAAACAGATTTTTGAGAGAAACTTTTGAATAAATTTCACACATTATCACAGCTTCATCTCATACTTTTCCAAAAACACTTGTATATTTCTTTTGAGTGATATTGGTTTCAAGAAGAAGATCGGTCGTGAATATTGATAACATTATACTCTCAAGACATCAAATTTATATCAAGATTATCTTTTGTATTACCTTGTTGTCCAGGATTGTTGGAAACAAGTGAGTGTTTGAAGATGATTGTTCTTCCTACACTTTAGTTACCTATAGATTAGATAGTAGGCTTCACCTTTGGTGTGATTAGGATATACAATCATTCTAAACTATAGTGAAATCTCTTTCGAGTCGAAAGGGGGAGTAGAGTACTCTCGGAGTGTGAGGGGAACCACTATAAAACTCTTGTGTCACTTTTTCCTATACGCACTTTACTTTCAAGTCCTTAACATCTTAACCGAAAAAGAATCAAGAATCAGAAAAAGATTGAAGATAATTTTTAAGAACCTAATTCAACCCCCTCTTAGGCACATTTACAAGTTACAACTTTCACATATTTTACTTTTCCATTCTTTGTACTCAAGTCTCTACTAGAGCACTGGATCAAGTTTAATTTAAAAAAAATTCTTATCAGTCAGGTCTGTCTAGATATACATTGATAGAACGAAGTTCGGTATTCAATTCATTGGTGACTAAGTGGATTAAATATCAGACTTCATTCTATCGATGTATATCTATAGAGACCAAAATTTAAGGTTTGTAAAACAACTTAAATAAAAGTGTTTTTCAGAAAAATAACCTTAAATTTTTATTTAAGTTATCTTTCTAAAAAACACTTTTATTTAAGTTGTTTTACAAAACCTTAAATTTTGGTCTCTCTAGAATAACTAAGTGGCTCACTTTATGTGACCGACTTTTTTATTTATTATAAGCAAAAAAAAAAATCATTAATTTTCAAAGTAATTAATATTTGTATTACTAATATATCTCTAATTTAATTTAATAGTATTTAATGTTGACGGTTGATTAATCAAATATAACTAAGAATATTATAATAAATTTTACTTTAATTATATATGAAAAAAAGAAAATTAGTTACACTTAATTAATTTTCTTAATTAGTGTGAAAGTGGTTATTTTTGCATATAATTGTGATCGGAGAGAGTAAAATCAATCCTATCATATAAATCGTCTAATCTCAATTCAATTACCACAATAAACTACATATATAAAAGTAAAATTAACTGAATTTAGAAGTGAAAAACGAACCCACTTGTTTTTTTTTACTTCTTTTCGAGAAAAACCAAGATTTTAGATTCATACTTGTAAATATGTCAATCTGTCTCTTCTTGTTTTTTTCTTGAATTTTTATGAACATAAATATTAATTAATATAAAAAGTTTTGTAATTATTAAATTTTAAAAATGCAGTCCGTCAATCCAATTCTACCTGTCCTATTTTTTTTCTTCAAAACCCTAGGTGAACTTATAACTCCAACAAATCCAGGTCCTCATTATACCACTGATTGACATGCGCGAAATACACTTTTTTTTATTGTACATTTGTTAATTTCAAACTTTGGATTCATAAAAGTTACTCTAAAAACACTACTTTAAAACCATATCACGTTTTCTATAATGAAAAAAAAAAAAAACCGATCACATAAAGTGAACCACTTAGCGGTAGTATTAATTATTTAATGTCACAACTTTTGGGTCAGCTTTATTTTTTTGACAAAATACTGAATCAGCATGTTGAAATATTCCGATTTAATTTTTATCTATAATAACAATTGAATTCAATTGACTTCATTTTCTTATAGTCAGAATTAATTTCATTTTTCATTTCTTTGTTATTAATAAACTAATATACTATATCAACAAACATAACTGATGGCATACCGATCTCGACATAAACTGCATCTGAAAAGAATCTAAATTATTACTATAAGATATTACCTATTAAATAATTTAATCGGAACTGCCCAAAACTATATAATATATTAAGAAACGAAAAATACAATGTAGATCACACATGTTGACAATTCTCACATCACTACCCACCAATAATTCATGTTCAAACCGTTGTTTGTTGACTTTGTTTATCAAAGCAAACCCATTAACTTTTCCAACAATATACATGGGCACTTCCCAATTCCAACACGTACATGCTTTTTCCATAACCATTTTATAGACCTTTTTCTTTATCCTTCTCCATGATGAAAACCACTGAAATGGAGTCACTAATACCTAAACCAACTAGGTACTTACGGAGGCGGCGATATCAGCGCCTCGACGCTGATGGCGCCGCCGCCGGTGACGGGAAGAAAGCAAAGGTTATAAGGTTGAGAAGAAGGCAGTGGAGGATGAGAGTAGTTCCGAGGTTAACATGGGCTATTAGATCCCCGTTGAAGATGTGGACAAAGCTTAAGAACACTTATGAGAAGTTTATGTTGAGGTCGATGAACTCTGAGACAACGTTTGGAAATCAAAAGACTCGCGATGTTTCTAAGGATTATTCGAGGGATGCTTTTGAGGCTAGGCTTATATTTGAGATCTCTAAAGCTTTGGTTGCTTCTCATGAACTAAATTCCAAGTAATAGTTAATTAATTCCTTAAATTTTCATGTACTTTTAAAAAAAAAAACTTTTTCTTGAAAATATCTTGCATCTTGTAATGAACTTATATATTGGAGTTGAATTTAATGTACTTTCATCAATTAAAGATTAATAGAAATTATTGAGTATTTCTAGCTCTATTTTATTTCTGATTTTGATCCACACGAGTTCTTATTTGTTTGTCAATGTTGTTAAATGGACTTAAATTTTATCTTAATTAAAATTAAGTTTAGCAGACGGAGGTGATCAAAATATATTTGTATATTCTAAAAACCAGAAATTTGAATGATATAGTCTATAGGATTTCAATTCAACTTTAATAAATGTACGTTTCCTTACTATATTATAATATGGCTGCTTCAAACTTGTAAGTCTTTGAGAGAATAAAAAATTGATCTTGTGACGATATATATATTGACCAGAGACCAGTTTCACATAAATAGTTATTGTAGCTTACTCATAGGTTAGGAGGATCTAACCAGGAACAAAATAAAGGGACAGAAGCTTACTCTAACTCTTTTGCATATAAGTTTCAAATAAGGGATGCTTTGAAGAATAAGGGTATTATTTCTCTTCCGCATGAGATATTTCGTACTTTTTTTTTTCATGTTGAGAATGATAAGTGTGGGTGAAATTTTAGATTGGTTAAAAAAATGAAGATTTGAATATTTATAAGTGGAAGAATTCACACACCTACTATCTTAAAATTTAGGTGAATATGTAGTGTGTCTCACAAATGTGTGGTGCTCATAAAGAAAGTCTCCAAAATAAAAATGTTTTCTTGTGTTGACCCCCCTGAATTGTAGCCCCACCAATGGTATCATGAGCATTTGGTTTGAGTGAAGAGACAGACTCACTTGTATCGAATGTATCCCTCGCACTTTTAACCAATGTTGGAACAAAAGGGTTTTAAAGAAAGATGAAAGAAGAAAAGAGAGAAACTGAATTATAAAAGAGAAAATTTTATTGAGTGAAGTTGTTATGATTTACATCATACAATGTTTTTATATTGGCAACTAAAGCCCAGAACCAAACCTATACAAAATGACTCAAACCCAAAATATACAAGTTATATTTTGGCTTCGACACAACAACTTAAATGTTGTATTCGACTCTATCGAGTACAACTTACTCCTACACTTCTGACTAGCTACTTCGACAGAGTCAAGTGCTAGGCTCCAACATAACATTGAATTACAATTCAAACACATCCTATAATTCATGTTCTTAAGACTTCTCATCCTGATGCTTTTATTCAACTCGTCGAACATGACTTTCTTTAGGGGTTTGGTAAATACATCATCTAGTTATCATTTTGTCTTGCAATACTCAATTTCAAACTTTTCTTTGTTAACTCTTAAAAAGTGATACCTCCTCCCTATGTGTTTACTTTGACCATGACACACTAGATGATTCTCCAGGTAGATTGTTGACTTGTTGTCGACAAACAACTTCTTTTTCTTAGGTTTCATTATCTTAAGCTCTTCGAACAACATCTTTATCCATGCTGCATATGATGCAACCGCATACTCATTTTCACATGATGACAAAGCCACAATGCACTGCTTTTTTGAACTCTATGAGATTGGAGTGCCCTCAATCATTAATATTTAGCATGCAAATCTCTTCTTCTTGTCTTGATCTTCATTGAAATCTAAATCAGTGTAGCCATATACTTCTGCATCTGTGTTGGTCTTCTTCTTCATTGGCTGATAGCACACCATAATCAATCGTACCCTTTATGTATCTCAACACCCTTTTAACTGCAGTGAGATAACATTCTTGGGGGTTCACCGCAAATCTACTCAACAATCCAACACTATGATAGATATCAGGCATGTTATTGCAAAGATACCTAAAGGATCCAATTATTTTTTTGTATAATGTCGCACTTACAAACTCATCATATGTCTCTTCAACTTTTCTCCATTTTCTAATGGTGCGGCAGCTGTATTAAAGTTGCTAATCTTGAATCTCTTCAAGATATCTTGTATATACTTCTTTTGGTGTAAGAACACTCATTCACATGTGTCTTTGAACTCTATCCTTAAGGAATATGATAAATTCCATAGGCCGTACATTTCAAACTCTTGCATCAGCTTCGACTTGACTTTCCTTATCTCTGCTTCATTTGAATTTGTAATCAATAAGTCATCTACATACAAACATAAGATGATTCGACTGACCTTGTCTGCATCATTGACATGCACTACATGTTCAGAGACACACTTTGTAAAACCCGCTTCAATCAGAAAGCTACTTATTCTCTTATTACAAGCTCTTAGGGCTTGCTTCAAACCATAAAGAGCCTTCCTCAATCTATACACCTTCTACGGGAAAACATGTAGTATCATTTGGTATCACTTACGTGCTTTAGTATCAATTTGTGTTTTGATGTTTTACAATTTGATTATTGTTTGATTGCATATTTGTAATTTGTATGATTATTGAAATTCTAGCACACAGATACCAGATGTTGAGACAAATGTCCCAACACTGGGATCAAGACAGTTTGATCACACAAGAAAATATGCAGAAACTTAAATGGCAGAAAGATAAAATAACACCAATAGTTGTTAACTCAATTCGGTGCAACTGACCTACATCTGGGGGCTACCAAGCCATGAAGGAAATTCACTATGATAATATTAGTTCAAAAATACACTCCCCCGTTTAGACATTCTCGTCTAATCACTACCTTGTGCAACTTCTACCCTAACACACTCTAGATATAAGATCTCCTTCTCACTTCCTATCAGTCATAAACCAGTGCCAATTTAACAACTTTCCAAAATAGAAGTACCAACCCTTCCAAGTACAATACTTAGTTTTGCTTAAAAGTTTCAACCAAGAACAATACATTTTTGCTTAAAAGCTCTAGAGTGAACAATTACCAATGAACAATCAGTCAACTCAATGCATCAAACCTGATACAAGAGTGACATACAAATAAAAACACACTAAACCCTAAAGAAACTCCAATACACGGCTAATCCTTATTCTTCAAAATCCACGCAATATCCAAGTTGCAATAGGTTTAGATATTCTCTTTAAATAGTCTTCAAACCTCGTGGGCTTGGGATCTTGAAGTGCAACACATCAGGAATCAGCTTTAAGTCATAAGTATAATCTCCCGCAGAATAATAGGAACAAAATACAAAGTTTTATAAAAAGGCTCAACGATCCTTTTTAAGAAAACCAACACAATCTGCCAAGATAGAAGTCCCCAAAATATCCATACTTGGATAACACAAACGTGTGAACTAAAACACACTTAAAACTCACAATAAAATACCAAAAAAACCCAGCCCTGGACTATTGGTATAACATGTCCTGGCACATGTCACAACATCATACTGAACATGATATTTGACTGTCATAGCAGAACATTTGGCTTAACATCTTACTGACAGCATGTTTTACCAAAATGTTGGCAATCCAAAATCCATAGAATTTACAGTATCCCCCTTTGGAAAATTTTGGCTAAAAAAACCTTAGAACAAATCAGGAGTATACACAGAGAAAATCACAAACAACACAAGCTACATGAAACCATGTAAGCTTTGTATAGACTGCAAATTTGCTGCAATAAACTAGACAGGTTCATAACTCCCCTTGCCACACATAGGCAATACTCCCCCTCAAGGGGAAAACCAAAATCACAAGAAAAGAGCACAAGCTCACCAAACAACACCAAACAGTAGCAGCAACTAACTCCCGCTGAATTACATAGCTTAGCAAAGCACAACTACACATAATGTCAAGACATCTAGTCTGACATCACAGAACAATCAGCAGCTCAGACCCAATAGCAGGACTCCCCTTTAAGACCACAACCCACTGCAAAAAAAATAAATTCTCCCAGACACAACAAACGAAATGATGTCATAATATATAGAATGAGATCCCAACATCATAACTATGCAGCTAGAAAAACCTTTACACCACAAGCATGACAAACACTCATGCTCCCCTTAAATAGTTGCATACAGCAAGCAACCACAAACCATGACATGATGTCATGACACATGATCCTACATCAGGGTTACAAACACATTAACACTTTACTCCCCCTTTTTAGCCAAAAATTGACAAAAAAAGAGTAAATGTAAACGCATAATATTGGAATCACAAATTGAAGTGGAAACAAACACCTATAATGAAAGCATAAACACAGATGGAAACACACGTTTAAATCATCTTCAAGTAATCTTCCATATCTCTCCCCTGTCAAAGATCCTTCTGCATTCCTTGTTGCTGCCACATGTTTCAGAAGGAGTGATAATGGATCTCTTCGCCACTGTCTTCTTCACACCAGTCTTTTCACCTTGCACAGTAACTTGCTTAGACCTTCCACACATCACAAAATAGAGGAAAATTATAGTATTTATTGCATTCCTCCATATATGTAATTGCTACAACTCCTCAATAGTGTCAGTTCTTACCTCACAACTTTTGTTCTCGAGAGCATTTGAATATAAGGCTTTAGTAAACATAACAGACAGCTGATCCTTAGTGTCCATATGTTCCAAAATAATAACCTTTCCTTCATCAAGATTTTTGATTAGTTGATTATGCCTGTCAGGGTTCTTGTTTCGACCATGTAGAATGACATATCTGATAACATTCAAATCCTTACAATGTAATGTCAGAACATCATCCTTATAATTATGTTTCTTCAACATCTGTCTTATCCACACTAGTTGAAGGCAAACTCCTCTGGTTTCTCTTCCTTCAGCTACAACAGTCCACCAAGAAGCCATACATACTTTTTATTAATATAGGCAATCTGACAGTTTATTGGAGATAAACAGCCATACATATCACTAACCAATTCTACCTTGCATAGTTCTTTCAGCATATCATTTGTGTTGTAAGAGTAATGCATACCACAATCCATTATTCCAATGATGCAATTCAAGATCATCTTCTTTTGAACAATAGGACTTATCCTTGATCCAGGCTTGCAGACAAGACATGAG